TTTTTTTTTGGTTTTGTATTCAGTTAAGTGATTTTAATTCTTGAATCATATGCTACCATCGCTAGAGATCATCTAAGGTCACAAACAATAAACCATTTTGCCTTTATTTAATTTTTCTGGTGGAATAACTTACTAGATTCATCATTAACTAGTTTCTTAACCCCAAAAAAAATTCCCCCAGTACCATAAAACTACAAATTTACCGAGTTGCTATTAATAAACCTTTTAAAATATACTAGTATAAGCTGACCCAAACTACATTGGTATTTTAATTTTTTCTAGTCTCCAACACAAAGGGAAGGATACCAAAAAACTTTCTAGCTTTAGGACTTCACTGTTTTGATGTTTTCTGGCTATCGTTTTGTCCACCAGCTTAACCCCAAAAATCCTTCATCTTGAATAAAGTGAATGCTGAAATATTACTGCTCCAAAATCAGAAAAACTAGGATGCTTTTTACCATTACCGATAATAGCCACAGCCGGTAAGAAATTTGTGGTCTCTGTCGCTGTTTTGCTGATCAGACCCTAATAAGGAAGTCGACATAAAGCGACGGGCAGCATCATGGTAGGAAAGCGGGCCTCTTTTTACTTTTTGAAGTGTCCAGAATCTGGACGGTCCTTTACTGATTGAATTTTTTTTTTCTCATGGGACCATCTAACGTTACTGATTCCTTCGAGCATATTCTCCAACCATGCCAGGCTCATCTCTTCTTGTAAATCATTAGCTTAGCCTTACAAGAGAAGCATAATCCCATTTTGATTCGATTGTCATTTTCGTTCAAACCTCTTGTATAGCTCCGTTTGGGGTTGCGGTGACTCGTAAAAAAACGCTTTTGACACAAGTGCTAAATAGTTTTAGGTTATCAAAAGATGGGCAATTTAAGTTACGAAAATTAGTTACTAAATACTTTAAACGTAAGCGCACTGTAATTTCAAATGGGACCTAAGTCGTAACGAGGAGTGTGCTCTAGATCATGTTTTGCATGAGAGGAATAATTGTGCAGGTATCTTGGTCAAGATTAGGTTAAAATTGCTAGTCTCGCACTTCTTCTAGATCCACCATCTACTATGAAGGAGTTCTTGGCAGCAAATTTATTGGGGGCTTCTTATAACAGAGTGGTTAGTTTGTAATGGGCGTCTAATCCTCCTCTTGATCAAGAAAAAAGAGAAAGAAGGAGATATTTTTCATTAGCTAATGAAGTTGTGTTAGAGTAAATTTTATCTCTTCTCTTCTTAGTGTTTGATTAGTATTTTACATTATCTTCTTTGTATTGTTTGTTTGATGCATCTTTATTATTAATAAATCCTTATGTGCAATTGTATATATTCTCTCACCAAACTTCAACTTTGGAACACATCTGGCCATTCCAACAACAAATATACCGATAAGATTTTTGATAATTAGTTAGTCTGGTAACGAAAAGAGATGATTCTCAACCATGGACCAAATTCAAAAGAAAAAGAGGAGTACGTTGGAATGTCAAGATCAATTTCTTGCATCTTTGGAAGTGATAGGATGGTTGAGACAAAAAAGAAACAAAAAATGAAAACAAAAAACAAAAATCCCACAGCCTTGGGACTTCTTGTGGTCCTTGCATACTCGATGAGAAAATTAAAGAAGCACCGTCGGGTAGTCTCTTGCAATCTAGGCTTCAGCCTTTTTGGTCCCTAGTTTCCTTGTGAAACTGATTGGAACACATCTGTTAGATTCGCATGGCTATTTAAGTTTTAACTCATTTTTTTGGTCACTAAAAGTTTGTGATTTTGGCTCTCATCATCCACACGATGTATGATAACGTTCTTGAAATCATACGTCTCTTATGTGAGTTTTTAAAAACTACTTAATAGTGCAGTTCTCACGTTAATAAGATCTGATAAGAAAGTGATTCGTTGTTGTCAACTGAATCAATATAGTTTGGCATGGCTATTTGAAACTAGCAAGTGTGGGCTTGATCAAGCAGAAATTGGTTTCTTTTATCGTCTTCTTTAACTCAAACCTACTTTTACAAGCACAAAAGCAAATATAGGAGGAGTTTTTTTTTTTTTTTTTGGGAACGACAGAGAACTTTTTACTAATGACAGTCAAAGAAGGTATATCCCTACCTACGTAAAACAAGCACTAATCTATACAGTGCTCAAAGATAGGCAGAGAAAACAATGAACTTATCAGAACTTAAGCCTGTACAAAATATATAGAATTCAAATTTAGGTTCTAATAATAATTAATGCATGCAAGATTACAGAATTGAAGAGATAAAATGATCACTCATTTGTGAGAAAGAAGAAAATAAATAATTCACGTTATTATTGAAATCTCAAACAATGAAACAAAACCACACCATAATAATACTTGATAGACTCTTTTAGAGTGTCTCTTGGACTCTTTCAAGAAAATCTCTCAACTAATGCCATATTTATAACTTACTAAGACTTATTAAATAAGAAATCACTTGCACAAAAAATTACAAAGTGAAATACAAATTTGAAATAATTCGCCTTTCACACGTGAAGGTCTGCAAGTTGGGCTTTAGCTCAGAGCCCAAATATTTGTTAGCCAATACGGTAAAACTTGTTAAACTTGTTTATAAACAAATAAGAAATTGGCCCACATCATTCATTTTCTGGATATGGTATGGCCAGAAAGGAGACCCAATACGCTAAAATTTATTTATAAACGATTGCGCCAAGGCCAACATTATTATTTCTTTATATTATAATCAGTTAATTGCCTTTGTTATTTTTTTCCAATTTTTTTCACAAAAATATGTTAATTACGTATCTTTTAAGTGATTATTTCATCATTTTAATATGAAAATAATCATGGGCATAAGTAAAAACAAATAGGCACATCTCCTTCAGGCACCAAAATAATTGGATGACAAATAAGACGAGACAGAAGAAACTATATAGTATGAATTTGGAAATTTCAAAAAGTTTTGGTGCATGAATAAAAGCAGATTGAGCTCACAAAAACAAAAGAAATGGTTTTGTGAATTGCAATTTAACAATTCACAAAAATATATTTTAGGTACCAAAAGGGGTATGACTGTAGTTGACGGTCTAAAAGAAAAACATTTGAAGGTGATATTCAAAAGAAAATGTATCTAGGAAAGAAGAAAATTTTCATTATTTTATTTTTTTGATTCTATTAGTATAGATTTTTATCATTCCTCTTGAATATCATATCTTCAAGTTAAAATTATCATTGAATAATGAAACAAGTGTTTTTGAAGCTTTAAATTGTATTGACTTTAATCATTTAAATTTTAAAACACTCTATTATCGCTGAGGGATAGAAATTGAGAGAATGGACTATACAACTTTCCTAATTTTTATAGGGAAAAAAAAAGGAGGTTTTCATAATTTGTTGTTCTGGCAACGAGAACAGATGATTCTCAACTTTTGGACCCAACTCAAAAGAAAAAGAGGAGCAAGTTGGAACGTGAAGATCAATTTCTTGCATCTTTGGAGGCGGTAGCCTGGTAGGATGATTGAGACGGAAAGGAAACGGAAAGAAAAGAAGAGAGAAAACAAAAAATATCCCACGGACTTGATGGTTGATACTTCATTCGTCTAGTCCCTTTACAATCTTGGCTTCGGCAAAAGTTACTCTTTCCCCTTCTGTTTTTCCCCACATAGTTCCCATATGAAACTAATTGGCACATTATATCTCTCTCAATCTCGTGGCTATATCAACTGAACCTGGAATACCATGGCTTGGTCAAGCACGAGTCTTAGCTGAAATTGGCTTTTTTATCCTATTCATAGATATAGGGCTGAAATTGGCTTTATCATCAATGTTCATCTCCTTTTAAGCACAAAAGCAAATACTAGGAGTTACTTACTATAGCTCAAAGAATTCGGCTAGTTTTTTTTTTTATTTTATAAGTAGAAGATTTTGAATTCAAAATTTACAAGAAAGCGTTTAAAGAAAGATTAGAGGCCCTCCCAAATAAAAGAGGATTAAAGTGGAGTCATGAGATTAAAATATTTTCTTCACGGTTTGATGTATTCCTCTAGAAGGCGTGGAATGTCATCATCCGCTTTTTGAATTGAAAGAAGACTCAAAATCCGAATATTTGTCAGCGAGAAATGGACCCATGTTATTTTCTGGATTTGGTAGAAAAAGAGGCTCAATTTTTATTGATTATTTTTCATATTGTAAAGCTAAAATTTATCTGCAAATGAGTCAACCAAACGATTTTTTATTTATTTTGGTTACTTAATCACTCATTGTAATTATGAGAATAATCATAATCAAAACATATTAGTCAAAACAAATAGGCCAATCTAATTTATTGGAGGTATCAAATGACTATAATTTGTTTCTAGAAATTTCAAAAGGTTTTGGTACTTTCCATAGTGTTTTAACTTTTTTTTACGATGACTCGAGTCCTCAATTTATTAATTACAGTTACAGGGCAAATAACTTACAATCCAAACACACTCAGTGTTTTATCAATCAAACTATGGCCCCGTTTGGAAGGTGAGTTTTTTGGGTGTTTGTCTAAAACTTAACTTACTGTAGAAATTTTTAAAAATATTTTTGAAGTATGTTTTTTTTTTAATATTTTGAAGTTTATAATTTAAAAATTTTGAAAAATTTTTTAAGGTTACTGTAACTAAAGTTTTTAAAAAACTTATAGCAGACAAACTTGACAAAAAAAGCAGCCAATGCATATCTGTACTTTGTTGTCATAATGCTATAACTTGGAAATGAGAAATATAAAAATCTTTAAGGGTCAAGAAATGATTTGTGATATATGAATCGAAGTAAATTAAGGTCACAAAAATAAAGCAAATGTCTACAAAAGTGCAAATCCTTCATTCATTTTATTTTTTTCGTCCTACTACTAGTTTATTCACAAGTTTTATCGTCCTACTAATTGTTTATTCACAAGGTTTCTATTTTATTCACAAAAGAGGTTTTATTGGGATATAAAAAGAGGTTTTTTGAAAATGTTAAAATATGGCCCCCTATACTATAAACTTCTTTGCACCAAAAACTTTCCCCGCCATCCATCATATTAAATCAAAAATCAAAATTCCCACAAACCCTTCCACACTTCCACTTCTCACTGCCCTCCGCTCTCGTCTGTTCAGCCATGGAAGACGACGATCAGAAGGTCCTAGATCTAATCAAAGAACTGGTCCACCGCTTACTCTACACCTCCCAGCACCCAATCCCCTCCCCGTCCGCCTCCTCAAACCCTAATTCCTCCTCCTCCTCCCCCACTACCCATCAATATCAGCAAGCTCTCCGGTATGCCCTTCGCATTCTCTCGAGTCGGATGACCCCATCAATTGCCCCCGACGATGCCGCAATGGCCGAGTCCATTAAACGCCGCCTCGCCACCCAAGGTAAATCCTCCGAAGCCCTTACTTTTACGGATCTTTACTCCAAGTTTTCATCCAAAACGGGCCCCGGAAGCGTGAAAAATAAATGGGGTGTGCTTTATTTGCTAAAAACTATCTCTGATGATCGGAAATTGCTGAAAAATCAGTCCATTTCTAGGGTTTCTAATGGATTCTTCGACCCCGCCTCGGTCGGCGGATTGCCGGCATTGTTTGATAGTGAGTTGAGCGACAGAGTTAGTGTTGTTAATGAACATTACAAGAATTTGAGTGATTTGGATGACAAGCATTTTTCGCATAATTTGGGGGGTTCTAGTGATAATTTGAAAAAATTGAGGGGTTTGAATAGTTTTGGGAAGGTGGAGAAGAAATGGGGTGATTGTGGTTTCAATGAGAATTTTGAGAAATTGAGGGTTTCAGGGGAGGGTTCGAGGGGTTTCAAGGGTAGGGAGAATGTGGGCAAGGGTTGGAGTGGAGGGGTTTTAATGGTTTCGAAGGACCCGGAAAATATTCGTCATTTGGCGTATAAGGAGTTTGCAGCATTGTTAAGGGAAGAGAATGAGGTTTCAGAGGAGGCCTTGGTGAGGGATGTGTTGTATGCTTGCCAAGGGATTGATGGGAACTATGTGAAGTTTGATGAGAAAGCTGATGGTTATATGTTGCCTGAGTTAGTGAAGGTCTCAAGAGCAACTCATGTTATGGTTCGGAAGCTTTGTGAGCTTGGATGGTTGTTTAGGAAAGTGAAGGGTTATATTTCAGAAAGTATGGAGAGGTTTCCAGCTGAGGATGTAGGGACTGTTGGGCAAGCATTTTGTGCCGCCTTGCAGGATGAGCTGTCAGAATACTATAAGTTGCTTGCAGTTCTTGAAGGTCAGGCAATGAACCCGATTCCACTGGTTTCGGAGAGTGTAACTTCGGGGAATTATCTTTCATTAAGGAGATTGTCAGTTTGGTTTGCTGAGCCAATGGTAAAGATGAGATTAATGGCAGTTTTGGTTGATAGTTGTAAGACTTTGAAAGGTGGGGCTATGGCGGGGGCAATTCACATGCAAGCCCAACATGGTGATCCACTTGTGAAACAGTTCATGAAAAGATTACTCCGACGGGTGTGTTCCCCTCTTTTTGAAATGGTTAGGAGTTGGGTTCTAGAAGGAGAGCTTGAAGATATTTTTGCTGAATTCTTTGTTTTAAGTCAACCAGTTAAAGCCGAGTCGCTCTGGAGGGAAGGTTACAGTCTGCATTCTGCAATGCTTCCTTCTTTTATTTCATCTTCTCTGGCTCAGCGGATTTTAAGGACGGGGAAGTCAATTAATTTCCTTAGAGTTTGTTGTGAGGATCGTGGTTGGGCTGATGCAGCAGCAGAAGCTGCTAATGCTGCTGGGACTACCACAGGGAGAGGTAATCTTGGTTATGGTGAAACTGATGCACTTGAATCTCTAGTTGCGGAAGCTGCCAAGAGGATTGATAAGCATTTGTTGGATGTTATGTACAATAGATACAAATTCAAGGAACATTGCCTCGCAATTAAACGCTATTTGCTCCTTGGGCAGGGTGATTTTGTACAGTATCTTATGGATATTGTCGGTCCGGAACTGTCTGAACCTGCTAATACAATCAGTTCATTCAAGCTTGCAGGACTACTGGAAAGTGCAATCAGGTCATCTAATGCACAGTATGATGATCCTGATGTACTGGACAGGTTGAGGGTTAAGATGATGCCACATAACACTGGGGACAGAGGCTGGGATGTATTTTCACTGGAATATGATGCCAGAGTTCCACTAAATACAGTTTTTACTGAATCCGTTATGGCTAGATATCTGAGGATATTCAACTTTTTATGGAAGCTGAGGAGAGTAGAGCATGCTCTTATTGGTGCTTGGAAAACCATGAAACCAAACTGTGTTACTTCTCGTTTCCTTGATAAGCTCCCAAATGCTGTTAAGTTGCAGTTGGTTCTGACATCAAGGAGATGCCAAGTTCTTTGGGATGAGATGAATCATTTTGTCGCAAATTTGCAATATTACATCATGTTTGAGGTCTTGGAAATTTCATGGTCCAATTTCTTGAAAGAGATGGAGATAGCGAAAGATCTTGATGATCTACTTCTGGCACATGAGAAGTATCTTTGTTCAATTGTGGAGAAGTCTCTCCTTGGAGAGAGGTCACAAACTCTGAATACAACTCTTTTTGTTTTGTTTGATCTAATATTGCGGTTCCGCAGTCATGCAGATCGATTATATGAAGGTATTCATGAGTTGCAATCGAGGTACTGTCCTTATCTTTCCATTTATAGTGAATTTTTCTGAAGTTCAATTATTGGTTCTTTTTCTTTGGCTCATTTAACATGTTTGTTACATTTTTCAGAAGCACAGAAACTTCCCTGTCTTCACGTGATAAAACAAAATCTCGGGCCAACAAAAATGACAAATTATCTGAACCTGGGTTGTGGCTTGGTGAAGGCAGGAAGGCTCTAACACAGCGTGCTGGAGAGTTCCTTCGAAATATTGGGAAGGATTTAGATGCAATTGCAAACGAATATACCTCTGTGTTTGACGGGTTCATTTCTCAATTGCCGGTGCAGCAACACATAGACTTGAAGTTCCTCATGTTCCGACTGGATTTCACTGAATTTTATAGTCATCTGCAGTCCAAAACTGGCGCAAAGCTACTACCTTAGCACCCCTGTTAAACAACATTTTACTTTCTAAAGTGTGTAAGATGTATGCTTTCTTTAGTAGTTGCACATCATGTGTGCTTGTAGATAGTCTCTTGGCTGTTGTAGAACAGGCCCTACATTCTGTACATAATTATTTGCTTTCAGGTAATAGTTTACTCTCTCTCTTTCTCTCTCTCTCTCTTTCTCGTTTGCTTACTCTGTTGCTTGTTCGTGGTTTTCTTTCTTTCAGAAGGCATTCTTAAGTTCTTGAGCAGGTGTGTAGCTGCTCTTGGCTGTTGTACTTGAGCTGAAGGTATTCTGCTCTGACTGTCACCAATGTAGAACATAGTGTTCCACGTTTGATTGTTATGTTTCATTTTAGTTTTTCTTCTTTTCATACGGTCAATTTTTGAGCTTGTAAGTCTCTGTAACATAGTTTTCGTTTGGTATGGTAATTAGTAAAGGCGCTGGTAGGTTTATTGCCTTCATGTTTCCATGACTTGTTGGTGATATAATGGTTCCTGTATCGCTTAATGAATTTATTGGTAGCAGTGTGTGGAACTGTATTTGATTATATCTTTGTTTTTTTCTGATGTTGTCAACAGAGAATTTCTTGTGGCCCTTTAAAATCTTGTTGTCTTGTATAAAGTACCCGGCATGGATTGTGCTTTCCAATAGGGAATGCTAAACCATGCTTTATAATGAATTCTGCTATATGTTGATTAGTGGACCATTTATTTCTTTTGCTGTTTTAATGCAAATTTGCACGCAATGTGCATCATAACTAAATAGATATATTGTGCATTGAGGAGATTGGTTTGTTGTGACTTGTGAGAACTTGGTCTTTCTTCCTTTGCTTCTATTACTTTTATTACCTATTTCTAGTTGACATTCCCCTGTTGCAAGCTGACATTCAACTGAATCAGAATTAATGGGTCTATACTCCCATTCTAGACGTCCTTAGATTTAAAACATCTTCTATGTAGATCGCTTTGGTGTTTTTTTTTTTGTTTGGTTGGGTTCATCTCAGATTTCAACCACCTATGGTTGGTCCATTGAAATATGTATTACCTTCGGACAGTTTGAAGCTTTTGACAAATTTTGGCTACTTTTTATGTATCGGTTGATAAATGAGTGAATCTGAATAATATGCCAGTGTATGTCTTAATGTATTATTATATGACAAAAAAAATCAATGCTTGTGGCTACAGTTGGATGTAGGTTTTTGAACCTTTTATTCTAATTCTCTTCTTTTTTGATCTCAAGGTTCTGGAAGATCATTTCTCTTTTTGGTTGTCAGGGTTAGGAACAGTGTGTTGCACCATATCTTAGCCTCTTTTATTGCTGTTGTTGACAGTTCTTTTTCCATGTATTGTTTGGGAGTTTGAGTCTGATTAATGGAGAACAGCAGAGTTTTGCACCCTTTTAACGTGCAAGTCTGTACATACCTTTGTCTGACTCGGCAGCATTGTGGAGTTCCAAAATGTTAGGATTTGTACTTTGCATTGTTAGATTTTTGGAATTTGTTAATATCGAAGTGTTTAATGGTTCCTTATGAGGGGCTTTCTAGTTATGTTGTAGTGATGAATGAGATTAAAAAGCGTTGGGTTCAGAGTAGCTTCTGATGGAATATCAACGGAACTAACAATTGCCTATTCAATGTATCGAAGTTCCATAGAAAGGAAATTGCAGTTGAGGATGAATTATGTGTGTGTGTGAGCTTTTAGTTTCAGGTGCTGGATTATTTACTTACGGAATATCTTAATTTGTGTTGAAATATTTTAATCATGTCAAAGATTGTCTAAATTGGTGCTCGCAAGTGGTAAGCATTAGCAAGGAACTAAATCTTCCTTTTCGATAATGTATCAAACTTGTTATGGGGAAATCTGTTGTGTTGTTTGAAATTGAAATTTGAGTTGTTCTAGGGCGTCAAGTTAATCCCCCATCAAAGGGCTGCCCAATGACTTCTGTATCAGCAACTGTTCTGCTACTCGATTTACTTTTTGCCAATGCTACTGCTTAACACGCAGCCCCTTCAAGCCTGCATGGAAAACAAACCAGATGCAATTCCAGTTATACCAAAAAAAAAGAGGTCTATACCAAAACATGAGCAATTGGAAAGAAAATTTAAGCAGGGCTTGTGTTAAGAACTAGACAAAAAACTAGTGAAAGTTTGTTACCAAGTTATCAACAATTTCATAAACTCTTAAGCACAGAATTTAAATACTTTGTTTTCTTGATCTCTACGAAATTCATGTATAATTCCTATCAAAACAAAGGAAGCAAATATACAAATAATACCTGTGCATCTACAAGTCATTGAGGAAACAGATTTCCCGCATGGCTAAGCAGAATTTGCAGCAAGCGTGCGATCTCTCCCACAGAATTGAGTTTGTTACTCGCCCAACGTATACTTCTTTCCTGTGAATGGTATGAACTTATTTTCTTCAGCACTAGTTGCATTCTTTTTGTTATCTAGTTCTTCAGAGATCCTCCTTGATTTACTTGGCTGATTACCGACTTCTTCAGGACCAAACACTAGCTTTCCAGCACGCTTTCTGGATAAGGGTTGTGCTTCAGATGCCATTCTATTGCTAGATTCTTTAACTGGCAGTTGGGAAGAGGGAGGAGTAGAAGAAGCTGCACGAGGCACAATACTTGCAGGTTGCTCATCTAATCTTCTGGCAGCACCCACAAACGGCTTGAACTTAGGCTGTTGATCATCATCTTGAGCTGATGTTTGTTTTCCTTGAACCTTTCGGGGATCAGCGTCCATGGCAGCACGCACAACTGATGATGGAGGTTGCTTTTCTGGCTCTTTGTAGTCTAAAGGAGGTGCAAAATCAACCTCACAATCTGTCTCAAAAAGTGAAATAGCATTCGAAGGGTTTGTTTCCAATATGTCAATGTAATACCGGTTATACTGATGAGTGATCATGATGGTATCTCCAGCAGTCACACATGCAAAATCTTTCAGTGCTGTTTCAAGGATTTCTTTAGGATCAGGTAGTTTGATAAAGTTCATCCTATGTGGTTGAATCTTCATAAAACTTCCTCTGGGAAGAGTTACATACTTCAACACCACGATTGAACCCGGATGAATTTGCCAGTTTTTCATCATCCATTCTGGCACGTAAACAAAACCCTCATCCGCACTGAACTCCAGAACCCCACAATGAGAAACTTGTTGAGAGCCACCCTCGTTATCGTCCCGCCCGCCCCTGGTGGTGGTGTTGGTGCTGGCCGCGGCGGCAGCAGTGGTAGTTGGTTTTTTAATCTCAAACACCATGGGGTATTCGATGTTGTCCATATAGACTAAGCGTTCAAGTGCTGAGGGAGGCATTACGATCCTGTTTCCATCTTCGAGATATTCCCTATCCTTGATATGAGAAACCGGAAAACAATTATAAGATTGTTCAAAGTATTCATAATCTTGATCCTGAAAATCTTCCATGGCTGGTTCCATGTTAGATAGAAGATTAAAGCTGAAGTGAATTAATGAGGTTGTTGGACTTGAACGAATCTCTTTTACAGGGTCAGGGAGACTTGCAATTGTACATGTCAGTGCGTCTCGACTGATAAGGTCCCTTTTCCAACTTTTGTTAGAATCCTTTGTTTCCTTTTTCACTTCGGTTTTAGTTTGACGATTTTTTCTGATCTTAAATAGGTGGAACTTAGCTCATTCATCTAAATTCTCCAGTCTCCCAACTAGTTATATTAAATTTGTCCAAACATCAGAACAGTTGTATTTTTATAAATTTTTGCCCATTTTTTATGAAAGGTTTGACTAATATATAGCACATTTGTGAATGCATACTGTCTCATGGTAAATTACATGCAATTTAGATACTCGTTAAACAAAAAAAAAAAAAAAAAAACCCTTTAATCGTTTAATCATAGTTTTTCAAGATTTTCCCTTCCGAATTTGGAAATAGTTTTCCGTAAAGGAGACTTCAAAACACCGTATTGAGCAGAGATTTTAACCCACCAGTGTCACAGATGGCGTCCGGAGTAGCTAGCGAGGTCTCAGCGTGATTTTGGGAGCGCTTATCCAAGGGGTACCAGCAATTGCAAACCTCCACAATGCGTTGACATGTTCTGGCAAAGCATAATCTATTCCAACTCTTGGACCAACAAGTACATGCTCTGGCCGTGGTCCCTCTAGGAGCTCTAAACCACCTGAGTTACATCCTAGTCTATGTTAGAATCTGTTTAAGAACATCCTAGTCTAGGAAGTATAAATGTATAATACTCCCCATAAAAGTTTCACCAGATTTGAGCTTTATCAGTGATGAAAAATAGGAAGAAAGAAAGAAAAATTGGAAGCTTACCAGGAGTATATAGGGAATGGTTAGACCAATCTGTTGAAATTCCTAATGCTTGACCAACCTTGAGAAACAAATGAGAAGTGTCAATCGGAATAAGGTTGTTGAAGTTGGCATAGTTTAGCGGAAGACATATATTGTCTTAATGAGAATCAGCTTGCTGAATGCAACCTCAGATGTTTCTACAGCTAACAGCTGCAACACATTTCTTTTAATGTCCTGTTGCTTAATACCCCAATATGATTGTCGTTTCCGTTGTTTTTTTTTTCCTTGGGGATTCTTTAAACATCTTGTTTTTCAATTCTAGATTAGCACTAAATAATGATACATAAAAAAATTCAGTCTAGATTTTTCTGCTAATAGACTTGTAGAACAATATAGTAGTTTAATCCACACCTCTTCCAGTAAAAGTCGCTAAACTATATTGCCGCACAATAATAATGTTAAAAGTTCCAAGCAGAGGATAGATGCTAGAATGTTCATACAAGAGGAGGAAGAAGAAGTTATAGATCACCTTTCCTGGCCCTGTAAGAAGAACAGGCTTCTCAGTGACTATACCTCGACGTTGTTGAATGGTTTTCAGCCCTGAGTTATAATTAAAAGAATTTTGGCATAAGATCTCAGCCATGATAGCTTTTATGATGTTAAGGATATTCATCCAGGAAAAAAGTGGTAGACAATAAATTTTCACCAGAAAAGTTCCTCGTTAGTATCATGATAAAGCAGCAAACATCAAAATTTTTATTTCTTTTCTCCACGTTATTTGGATAACATGTGAATCACTACTTTTTTGGTTACCAAAAAGCATTTCCCTAAGACAAAATCTGAATGAATTCTTCATCAAAAGTCTTCTGCCTAGTTCACATTTGGAGCTTTCAATATTTATTTCACATTTATCTCATCCAAATGCAACAGAAGTGCCTTGGAGTTGGCATTTTGCTTCAGCATAATCCAATATGTTCTACTAATGACTGCTTGAGGTTATAGCTGTCACATGGTATTCCAAGAAAACTTGCTACACTACCATTATAAATTAAATGCAAAATACAAAACAAAGAAACTATAGCAAGAATCGACAAAAGAAAATGCCAATTCAACTTCAGAATTCCAAAATGGTATTACCACTGATTGGGGCACAAGAACGAATTAGCACAGCTGCTCCTGCTCCTTCTCTGTCCGCGACAATATTGAGCATGGTGTGGAGACCATAGCAAAGGTAAACATATGCATGTCCACCAGGTCCAAACTATATTAACCACAAAGAGAAGATATTTACAGCAAAGAAGCCACAGTAAAATATGATAATGGATTCAATCTTATATTTCAGGATATGTTAGCACTAAACGAACAAGGAATAAACCTTAGAGTTAGGCATTTTCCCTAGTAATATCTTCAATTTATTGTATTTCTGAAGTTAAAGAGATCAAGTTGGCTAGGAACTGAGAAAGAATAAGGCCTATCTTGCAAGGTCCCTAATTTAATTGGAAGAATAGGTCATCTGAAAACTGCTAATACATCTGCTAGACTTAAAATTATAGTCTCAAAAGTAGCTTAAAATTGGATAAGTTTTCATGATTGCATCTGATCCACAAGCCAATGCAAACTATTAAGTACACAAAACAAGTCTTATTACCTTGTCATGGCATTATTTGTTAAGACAATACAAGATAACCAAGAACCAGAAATTGAATCTTTAGCCAACACAAACACCTACACACAAAGACATTTTATATGGTCCAAAATCAGAAGCTCTGCTCTTCTGGTATGCAGGTCTACTTAATAAATTATGATTATCACCCTTCTGGACCTCCATCCACATGCATCCATCTTTTTTGTTCTCTTTCATTGCACTTAAATGCCGAGAGGATACTAGCAGGCAAGGATGGCTTAATCCTTAGGCAGTTACATTAAAGGGGAAATGGACAGTTGGAAACATACCCTTCCTGGTATTATTGTAATTGCACAATCCTTATAAGGAATGAGATCTGAAACCTCAAAAAGAAAAGATGATGACATGATATTAGGTCAGGAATTTTGTGTTCATTATTCCCCCAACTGATTCAGCATCTGAAAACATGAAGCAACGGTCACATGGTACTCATAATTAACATATTTTCGTAATTTGCAACTGATCACAATCTAGGCATTTGGAAAGTACAGTGGTATAAAGTTTTGCATCCACCTTGTATTAGGGGTTGGAAATCGTTCATTCTTATGTAATTGCTTACATCTTAGTTATCTCAGTTTTACTTCAAGGCTGCTTTTTCAGGGAACAAGCTTAGTTCAGCCTAAAACTAACTGCTCACTATCGTGTCATTTTACAAAGTAAATAACCGGCTATCCAATTATGCTTCTGTAGTACTATAAGTAAACACAGACCATTTTACAATTACCACATGGAGCAATCAAAGAAGCAGAAAATTATGACTGTTAATGATTCATTATTACAGATTCTTTATTTTAATGATGGGGAGCGAAGGCCAAATGTATTAGTAAGACTGCAGATAGTCGTTTCATCCTATAAAAGTTATCTAAAATCAGGCACGATTAACATGCTCCATTCATTTGCACAAGTAACAGGTAAAGCAGATAGCACTTAAATGGCTATAACAATAAACTTACAACTGGTGCTGTTCTTGCTGTCATGCCAAATCGACCGTGGCAAGCTGAATCATTTGGCCTATAAGCTTCCACCTATAAATCAAGTCCAAAAAAAAAAGTGTTAAGGCATCCCGTTCTAAGATTGCAGGAATACAAAAATAGATATAGTAATTCACCTCAGTTATCTGAAGAACAACATCGTCTCTTCTGAGGTACTTTCCAAGCAAAAGTGGGGCAAGATCAAGGGCATCAATTTGGTAGAAATCAGGGGACAAGATTGGCCATTTCTCAAAGAATGTAGACAACGAAGAACTGGGATTTAAATCATTATCATCATCATCATCTCGAAAGTCAGATTCTGGGATTGTTGAACTGGGGTTAGCCCTGGGATTGACTTTTGCTATCGTCTTAAATTTTCTTTTTATGATACTGGTGGCGGTGGTGGTTTTCTGGGTGCTTTTCTTGATGGGTTTAGTGAGTTTTTTGGGAATTAGAGTATCCTTCATCGAATTGATCGATGAAGAAAATGGAAATTTGGACTGGAGAGAACTTGTGGGACGTATCAGACAACGAGAGAAGACTTTTGATTGCAAGAATAACATAGAAAATAGTGGACTTTGATAGTTTGACCCTGCAGCGTTTTGGCTAATTTGGCGGGTGTTTGTTGACGACTTGATGTGGTTGCTGTCAATGCAGTAGGAAAGGAATCAGACTGCTGCTTGGAGTTCAATAAAAAATTTTTTTTTTTGGGTTCTTCCAAAAGGATTTACTTAGAACAGCACCTTTTATTGTTTCAGTTTTTTAATTTAAATCTGACTATTCTTATACTACCTCATTAACTACAAATGCAATTATTCCAAATAGCAATAGATTTTTCTCAAGTGAGTATATGTATGGAATGGCTACTATTTGTCAAAAATAATTACTTGGATCACAAATATATTTTTAATTTTTTTTTATCTTTCTGATTCTTTTTTATTTCATATATATGATATCAGAAAACACTAATATAATAATTACTCTAAATCCTTCTTTGAATAATCTTTTAATCGAATAATTTTGGTCCACATATTATCAATTGTACACTATAATTGAAAATCAGGCCTTGTTTGGATTGCCGGTTTCCGTCGAAAAATTACGTCGTTTTCCGTTATCACATTTCCCTATTACCTTTTTCCCTCACATACATCAAATCGCTACAGTAATTTTTTCATGAAAAATCACGGAAAATGCAATCCAAACACAACCTTTATTTTCTTTTTGTTTGTTTGATAAATTCATCTACTCTCATCCTACCTTATATTTAGTAAAGTAAAATCAATATAAATATTGACTAACAAAATTAACTTATTTTCAGACTATTATAATTCATCGAGTGCAGATCATTTTGCTTGAACTGAATAGTAATCTACTTAAATTTGATATTATTTTTTTTAATGAGTTTAAAATGTTATTTAATCTTTATCTATGGAAGTTCTATAATAAACTATATTTACCAATTGAATTCAACTATTTTTTTTATTTATTATCTTCTTGTAATTCATTTGGTAGTTGTGGAACAAAATTGAAAACTTGTTTGGGCTAAAGTTCAAATAAAGGAAAAATTAAGGGAAAAGGAGTGAAAAGTAGTGTAAGTTACCGCGGTGGCCTATTTCTTCTAGACCCTTCTATTTCTGAATAATTTTTGCAACCCAAATTAGGGTTTCCATTTTTCTATTCTAGACCCTTCTTCTTGCTCCTTCCACCTCCGGAACCCTCCGGACTCTCACTTCTTTTTTTAAATCTCCCTTTTGCACAGATTTTCACCTACAAACACGCACCAGAAACACTGAAGAACGAAGAACACGAAAAATATAAACTCCTAAATTTCCACCTGAAACAATGGCGAGAATGGGCGAAGGAGACAAGAGATGGATCGTCGAAGACCGCCCCGACGGCACTAACGTCCACAATTGGCATTGGGCCGAGACAGATTGTCTTGAATGGTCCCGCAATTTCTTCAAGAAAACCCTCTCCGATCAATCCCTATTAAATGGCGAAGGCAATCTCTTCATTAAGATAAACAAGGTCGATAAACTCGACGGCGAAGCCTACGTCAATATCCGTAAGGGGAAAATCATCCCTGGGTACGAATTGAGCCTCGTAGTTTCATGGGAAGGTGAAGCCAAAGATTCCGATGGTAATTCAGTGCTTAAATCCGAGGGGACCGTAGAGATACCTTATATTTCCGATGAGAACGCCGACGAAGATCCGGAGCTTAGAGTTACGGTGAAGGACGATGGGCCAATCTGCAAAAGATTAAAGGAGGCCTTCTTAGCTAAAGGGAAACCGTTTGTGCTGGAGCAAGTTAGGGCTTACGTCAGTGCAATGGCGAATGGTGGGCCCGCGAAAGAGGAGCTGGAGGTGAAGAAAGTGGCAAAGAAGACTGCTTCTGCTGGTAGTGGTGATGAGAAGGCAGTGGCGGCTGCTGCTCCGGTGGTGGAGAAGATGGAGGTGGTGAAGAAGGAGAAGAAGAAAGAAGGGTTTAAGACGATTACAATGACAGAGAAGTTTAGTTGTGGGGCGAGGTATTTGTTTGAGATATTGATGGATGAGAATAGGTGGAAGGGTTTTACGCAGAGTAATGCTAGGATTAGTAAGGAGGTGAATGGGGAGTTTAGCATATTTAATGGGTCGGTGACTGGGACTAATGTGGAGTTACAAGAGGGCAAGCTAATTGTGCAGAAGTGGCGGTTCGGTAGCTGGCCTGATGGCATTCACTCAATGGTAAAGATTTTAACTTTTCTCAGTATGATGATTTAATTTGTTCTTGTTTTATATTCTTTGTGTATACATGGATGCTTTTGTGCAGCTTATTTTCGATTAATCTTTTGTTTTATTCCATTTAGCAAGTAGCATGCTAGAACTGGTTAGTGGAAGAATTTGTTCAAGCAGAATTTGTTTGGTAGTTCTCCACCAAGGGAAATTTACCGTTGTTGGTAATGAATTTAATACTGAAAATGTGCTTCAGGTGGAGTCAACCGCATGTATGTTAACATTAATGTCTGTCGCATTGTGATTGGTGCTTGTTCGACTGCTGCAGAGGATTAATATGCTTGTTTACTTGTTGCTGTGGATAAACTAAATCTCGGCAATGATTGCTGCTAGTTAAATTTATTAGCTACAGTCCACTCGTGTATTTTGATTGATTTCTTGAGCAGCATTTCAGCTAATTATTAGATTTTTATTGTGTGCTTTGGAGCTTTGTAATACAACTTCTGTGTTACGGTAGTTTTTCCTGCCTTTGGATTATAAACGTTGTACATGCTGCCTGCTTTCTAAGAATTAATGCACCACGGAGATGTACATTGATGTTCTTATTAACAGCTTGAAGAACTTATATTATTTGTCATTTTTTGCATGTTTGATTGATAATTTGATATCATCACTGCTGAGCAGCATGCAGTGTTTGACTTTGTTGGCAAATTCAAGTTACATGTGTTATGGAATTTTCTCCCCTTTGGATTATAAACGTTCTGCTAAAAATAATATATGCTGCAGGTGCGACTAACCTTTGATGAGCCTGAACCTGGGATTACAATTGTCAAGCTCATACATAGTGATGTTCCAGAGGAAGACAGGTTGGTGCCATCTCTAACTGCTTTAGAATATATTGCCTTACCTTCAGCTAGCTGTATATTTCCTCACTGCACCACCCCATCCCCCTAGAAAGAAAAAGACTTGGCAAGAACAAGGTTAAATTCTAATTTGCGCCTCCACAATTTGGCCAAGCTTACCCTAAGGTCTGGAAAGCCATGATCATTGTCTTGTCCAGAAAAGATGTCCACATGTTGAAATCACGTCTGAAATAACTACATTAGTTGAAAATTGATTGTACAGAAGGAAACACTCCCACTGGAAAATGGCTTGAATCCTGTCTCTCCCCTACCCATCTTCATGTCATCCAACCCCTTATTTCCTCTCCAGAGTTTCCGTAAAGCCACTTATGCCCGCTGTGACTATTTTGCCCTCTTATGCATAACATTCCCTGTTGGCTGTTTCTCCAAATCGCCTACCTACAACTCACCTTATCGCCTTCCTTTAAACCAGCACCACCTTTCCTTTTCCCTCCCACTTGTTTGTGTCATAGGTCGTGCTCAGCAACCAGCACCAAGCATAAATCCTGGTGTCCCTTGCCTTGTGTCCTCACAACCTGCACCAAGGCCCTTGTCATCTTTTCCCAACCTACCCCTTAGCTCAAACTCCTTGCTTTTAGTTTTCAAGTGGACTCATTTCTGTTTGTTGCGGAGATAGCAGGATTAGGCAAGGTTTTGATTGGTTGAACTTTTCCATGTCTTTGGTTAATTCCCTGCTCTTGAAATCTACAATTTTTAACTGTTTAAATATGTTATAAAGTTAATTTCAGAACTTTCTGTTATTTTTTTTGGTTTTCTCATTCTGGGAACTGCAAATATCACAATAAGGGTTCATATGTTTTGAGGTTTTCTCAAAGCTTTAAATAACTGATTGTAGTTTAGCCATCTCAAGTGGTGTGCAAATAATCAACTGCAGATAAACAGTTACTGAATTTTATTTTTTGTACACTCCCCCCCCCCCCTCTCTAATTGAAGCTACTTGATTCTGCAGATATGGAAACGCAACTGTGGTGGAGAATACGGAGAGGGGATGGAGGGATCTTATTTTCCACAAAATACGAGCAGTTTTTGGTTTTGGAATATGATTTTCTTCTTGGAGTTAGTTAATGAATCCGGCCAAGCGTAGAATTTTGTCATTTTGGGTTCCATTAGACTGAGATATGGATTGAATATGACTATTATGGTAAAAATGTACCCAATTTTATGGGTGCAGCTACCATCATATTTACGGTGACCTCTGGCTGTGCCAGACCCAATAGCCTGTGCTGCCAAGTAACTAATTGTGAACTGTGTCTTGATTGGAATGAAGGATATAATGTTCTTTGTTCTCTCTTCTCTATTGGCGCAGCATCGAAATTGCTAGTCATGTCTTTCTTCTGCTCTTTTGGCTCTTGGTGGGTGTCGCATGCCAAATTGAAGTTTATTTCTACAGTGTATTTTCGATATCGCAAGTTGTACTAAACTGAATTATCTCTTTGAGGCTGCACAAGGAAAGCCGATGGCAACACAATCAAATGGTTAAGGGAAAAAAAAGCGTAAAATAAAAATAGGCGATGGACTGGATGCTCTGAAAAAATGAAATTAATCATTGAAATGGCTTTCAAAAGGGTTCAATTTCTGTACAAGAAAAAGGTGGAACCTGTACATTCTTGAACTTGGTTTAAAGCCCATGGACTTTGCTAGGCCCGAAATAAAGAATGACCCGAGTTTATGTAGGAAAGGAAAATTTTTTCGTCGCCTGAGAGATTCGAACTCTCGCGGGGAAACCCCATGTACTTAGCAGGCACACGCCTTAACCACTCGGCCAAAGCGACGATTTTGTTATGAGGGCTTGATATGAAAGCTTATAATACAGCCAGAGGAGGCAACATGAATCCCAAGACTTCCTGCCTGTGTTTATGTCTCATTGACAATTCATTATAACAAGTTCATTCTTGTTTCTTACCTGAAACCCAGGATTTCTTGCTTGTATTTATGTCTTATTTGACAATAATGAATACATATTCAATTTACATGTTTTTGAGAGAACTTGATTCGAAAGAAAAAGGTATAAGATATAGGGGATTTTACATAAGAGAGAAAAATTCAAGCAGGAAATTCTTCTTCAGTATCTTCCCCCCTGTCGCGTTTTTAGAAGAAGACACTTTTACTGTACATCACAGAATAAGGTGGGGTGTTGCAATTTACCATAACTAAGTTTATAGAAGATAAATCTGTTGACAAAATGAAGAAGTGGGAGGGAAGCGATCTACATCCTACGTTGAGCTTGAAACTACATGTATTCTCATGCTTAAAATTCTACACAAAGTTCTGGATCATTTGTCTCACTTCTTCAATAACAAGCCAAGCTTTGTGTCCTCCGATCACTTGTGCTTTCATCTCACCATCTTTCCATAGCTGCAGGAAAACACAAGACACAAAATCAAGTGAAATCACATCAAGTTTTTAATTTGGTTATTGGTCAATCTGGTTAGAAAGAAATTCATGCTTAGAAGAGAATCACGGCTACCGAGCTCACCTGTATCGTTGGCATTTTCTGAGACAAAAGACATCACAGGAAACATCAGTAAATAAATTAAACAGATGAATGAAAACCACAAAATTAATGCAAGAATAAAAATGATCAGATTAATTCAACATACTGTTATGTTTCCGCGCTTTACTAAGGCCTGGGGCACTTTGTTCACATCGACACAGAAGAACCTAAGCCTGTCATGAGAAGTAAGCGTCAGATTTGAAACCATCTTAAAGGGCTTCTAAGTATGTGATCCAGCTACTCATACATTCACATTTGCTAAAGCTCCATTGATCCATACGATTACTTGAACTATTCTCTGCTTTAAGCTCCATGGATCCTCTATAGCTATAAGAAGTGGCTTTAGAAAGTACAATTTACAACGCCTACAGACTCTTGTTCTTGAACGCAGGTCTCGAAAAGTACATTCTGTTCAAACATTACTGTGTGAGAATTTGAGCTTTACAGAGGAAGTTTAACTTTGTAAATTTCCCAATTCAAAAT